TTTATTGAATAAAGCATATTTTTGTTATTGCAAATATATTATTGTTAAACCTATTTAAACTAAATAAATAAATTAATTGTTTTATTTACAAAAATAAATAATAAAATTAATGGAATTAATAAAATATTATTTTTATTTTTAATTTTCTGATTTTTATGAAAAAAGGAGTTAATTGGTTAATTTTTGATAATAATAATAATAATAATAAAATAGAAAATGAAATAAAATGTAAAGAAATACTCAGGGGGTGTGGGCCTGAATTTGATGGGGGAATTAGCAAAAATCAGGCCCAAATTCGTCCAGCCTTGTTTGACCCTTGGAATCCAATGCATGTGCGTTGACTGGAGAGTATAGTGGATACTCAATTCTGCCCCCTGGATCTTGGCCTGAAGCCACTTGGCACGTTGATCTCTGCAAGTGCATGGTGGACTGCATCCTTGACGTTACACAAGATTGCCTGAAAACAAAATTTATTAAAGTTTGGGGGGACCTGGGAATCGAACCCAGGTCCCAAAGGGTTTTACCATAGCATGCTTTCCAACTCATCCACGCTGTTTCTTTGCTATTGGAATAGACAACAAATATTATAAGATAAATAAATAATTATGCCCTGCAAAATAAAAAAAACGCGCTAATGATTCAAACAGACCAATCACGCCCAGCCACGTTATCATCTTCTTCACATAACCCTGGTTCTTTACCTGCGGATTTTTATCCGCAGGAAGATTCGTGGGATGTCTCCAAAATTCACTCTAAGCCATGAAAATGCCATCCAAGAACATAGACGTGTTCGTCTCTGCCTCCTGATCACTCCTATACCAATTATTTGATCCAATTTTCCCTGTAACTCAAACGCCTAAAAACAACATATGTAAACCCTAGATTCGGGCATCGTTATACAAGCCATGGAAATCAAATTGGATAATGCCAAAACGTTCTAAATCAAATAACAATCACAAATATGCCAAGATTTTAAAGAAAAGATGCAAGAATTGGAGATTTGGATTCCATGTTCAGAGGTCAGTTCGTGATGACTTACAGTGCGATTTAGGCAATGGGAATGCTTGGTTTTGATTGCTACAGCTTCACAGGATATCAGGCAAGGGAGTAGCGTTGAGCTTTTGGTCTGAAACGAGCTCAAATGTGGATTTCAGAATTCAAGTTTCCAAGCTTTTTTCCAAAGTTGTTCTGGCCGTTTCTGCAGAGCTTTGTGCGTCCCCTAGGTCTGGCTCTCTTGTGTGCATATAATAGAATGTGTTTAGTTCAAAATTTGGGCATTAAACCTTATGCATTGAAGATGGAATATTTGATTTTGATCACCATAACCAAGTTGCCATATTTGCATCAAATCTGAGATTTTGTGCTTGTTTTGACTTGGCACGAGTTTGATTGAGTATCACATGATATTTGCAAGCTGGAATGATCACTAGAATCCCTTTACATCAATTTTTAGATTTTATTTGATTTAATATTGATTTAAAATGAATTAAATCAATAAAAATAAAATAAAATAGAAAAATAAATGAATGGACATGAAATTAAATATAGGACACGTGTGTGGCATGAAAAGACCATATCAAGTGGAAAAAGTGGGTCCTTTTGTCAAAAATTGGAGTTTTGAGGAAAGTTGACTTTTGGCAAATTTGGAAAAATGCCCAACTTCAACAATGCATAACTTCTTCAATTTTGAACTTTTGGAGGTGTTCATTGACTTTTTAGAAACCTTGAGATGTACTATAATCAACCCTTTTGGTCTCATAACATTTTGATCTTCCATGCTCAAGTTATAAGCTTAGGAAAAAAAGGTGTTTTTGTTGACTTTCAAAAATGACCTATAATGTCCAAATTTGTAACTTTTTTTGAGAGCATTTCTTGATCTTGGGGTGTGAAGATGGATTTTAGGAAATTTCATCCTATTCAAAATGAGATTTGGATGGGTCATTTATCATAAAGTATGAGAAAGTTATGCTTGGTCAAAGTTGGGTTGACTTTTCCTACAAAACCCTAATTTAGCAACTTTTGAATCTTGATGAATCTTGATCAATCCTTGATGAATCATGATCAAACCTTGATCAAATGATGAATTATCCTTCAAAATGAGAATTTTGACAAAAAAATCTTGAGGTTTGACTGTATTTGAGACACAGTTAACTTTTGCCCTAGCACAGTCGATTTTTGGACCTCTTGAGCAATTGACTGACCAAACTTTCTCTGCAAGGCTTGAAATTTGACATGGATGAACTTGAGAACATGTTAGGACATTGGGAAGAACTTGAGGACATTTGGATATGAGGACCTTAATGCAACACAAAACCCTAATTTTGACTTGACTGCCTTAGGAGGTGATTTGACTGTCCAACTCTTGAGTCATCTTGAGCCACTTGAAGATTATTCTTGGAAAATCTTGAGGGATATGGGAGGGAAAATTTTTAGGTACAACACCATACATATCATTGCATAAACAGGTTTCATGACAGGTTTCTTATCTTCTTTGCTGTTTATTTCAGCAATGGCACTTGAATAAATAGTTAAGGAGCTTCAGGCACAGAATGCTCAATTCCAAGAAATGTTCCTGAATCTGGATAAGGGACAAGAATATTTGAAAGCTCTGATTATCAAAGACAAGAAGAAGAAAAAGAAACAAGTTTCAGAGCTCGCAGCTCCGTAAAGAGAGAGAGAGAGAGAGAGAGAGAGAGAGAGAGAGAGAGAGAGAGAGAGAGAGATAATCAAGAAGGAGAGCCAAGAGAAGAAAACCATAATACAAGGAAGTCTGAAGAAGATGAACCTGACTATTCTGAGGAGCAGTATCATCCTGCTGATGATAAATACAAATAGCTGGAGGATCGACTCAATGCCATGGAGATCCAAAGGGTGCCCAGGTTGGATTTTGAAGAGCTAGGACAGGTCTTAGGGGTGGTCATCCCGCGGAAGTTCAAGGTCCCTACATTTGCTAAGTACGATGGTGTCTCTGGCCCTAAGCTGCATTTAAGGTCGTATGTCAGGAAAATTCAACCCCACACTACTGATAGGGATCTGTGGGTACACTTCTTCCAGGAAAGTTTGGCAGGGACTCAGCTACTATGGTTCTATCAATTAGAAAGAATCAATATGCGTAATTGGGAAGATCTGGCTGCTGCTTTCTACAAGCATTACCAATATAATGCTGACCTCTCCCCAACTCGTACACAGTTGCAAAGTATGGCTATGGGTTCCGGTGAGGGCTTTAAGGACTATGGCCAAAAATAGAGAGACTGTGTGGGAACCGTCCAACTTCCGTTGTCTGAAAGGGAGCTGATGGACATGTTCTTGGGCATATTATCTGGGCCGTTCTTTAACCACCTAATTAGAAGTTCTTATGTTGGGTTTACTTAATTGATCTTGACGGGTGAACGAGTAGGGGCTGGCATCAAAAGTGGTAAAATCCAGAGAGAAGCACCTTCCAGTACAGCAAAGAAACCATTCATGGGAAAGAAAGAGGTCAGTGCTGCTTTTGGCCAAAGAAATCTTTACAAAACTGAGCATCGTTCGATGGTAGGGGATGTTATGATTTCCAATCCTGCATCAAACCGGCAACAAGATAATCAGTCTAGAACATATAAGCCAAGGAGAGAGTTTACCCGGATCAACATGACCTTATCCCAGGTTTTACCACACTTGCTGAAATTCAATTTGGTTACCCTGAAAGAGGCTCCCAAAGACCCCAACACTACATCTCCTCACTACAATGCAAATGCTCAGTGTTCTTACCATTCTGAAAGTCCAGGCCCTGATGCAAACGACTGTTGGGCTTTGAAGAACAAGGTGTAGGATTTGATTGAAGCAAAGGAGATTGAATTTGACGCTCCTGAGACCCCTAATGTTATAACCGCCCCTATGCCCAAGCACGACTGTGGTGTTAATGCTATTTGATGATGACATGTTTGTTGCCTCTGTTGATGAAATGGCTACTCCACTCCCGACGGTTAAAAAGAATCTTTTGCGAGCCGATTTATTTCCGGGATGTGGTGAAGGTTGTCATGTATGTTTGTCTCTACCTAATGGTTGCCATTTGTTGAAAGAAGGTGTTCAACGCCTGATGGATGATAAAGAGATTCTATTTGAGAAGACTCCGGTTACAAGTACTCCATGTGAATATGTTTATATCATTACCATTTTCGCCAATCCTCCCAAGGTCTCCTCCAAAAGACATGTCAGGATTACATCTGTTCCGAAAGTTGCTCTGTTGATAATTACTTTCCCTGGACCTATACCATATTCACTACAAGAAAAATGATAGATTGGGACGGTTATTTTGGCTGATTACGACGGTTAAAACCGTCGCAATTTACAATCTACGACGGTAGAAGTACCGTCGCAGAATCGTGCGTCCCCAGCCTATTTCGCGACGGTTGCAAAAACTGTCACGCACAACAGATAGCGACGGTTATATACCGTCGTGAATTTGACTTTATTTTTGGTTTTTGTTGTTGTTTGCGACGGTTATTCTACCGCCGTAGGTTAGAAATTGCGGCGGTTTTAACCGTCGTAATCTGATTTATAAATTTCAAATAATATTTTTATTTAAATTATTATTTAGTAAAATAATTTTAAATATAATATTATTTTACTATTATATTTAAATTATTATTTACTTTAATATTTTTTTTTATAGTATTTTTATTTTATTTTCTATCACTTTTCAACATAATAAAGTTAATTACAATAAAAACATTTAATATCAAATAATCATCAATAATATCAAAAAAATGTGATCAAAGGTAAAAAGAAGTGCAAATTTTACCAATAAACAAGAAAAATTCAAATATCATCAAAGGCCAAATTTCATTTTAATATTTACATTGGTTTGCTACAACTTGAGAGAATTACAAAAAATGTTACAATATTCTACAAAATTCATGAAAGTCCTTTACCACATTTTGTATGTTTCTTCACACGCGCACCGCACAATACTACTCTTCTAGCTAACTCATCCATGATCACATTCTCTGCATCATTTCCTTTCAAATTTTTTTCAAACATCCCTTTTTAAGTGCATATTCAAACATCACCTTATGACCATCTTCACCATTTTGTTTCAAATCTATGATATCTAGAGCTGTTAAACCATCTTTGTTTTTAAGATTGGTTACATCAGCTCCAGCGTGAAGAAGCAACTTGAATGCCTCCACGCTACCCTCTGAAGCAGATATCATGACAGCTGAAAATCCACTCTCATTTTGCTCATCTAGATTTATGTTTCTGTTTTCAACGACTTTTTTCAAAGCCTCTATGTCATTCGCGTGAGTGACGAATAACAAAGATGAAAATCTAGACGCATTGCTAGACTTAACAACCTTTCTGGCTCTAATTATATCCAAAACTGCTTTCTGATATTCTTTAGTCCAATGAATAGAAGTTTCTGGCTCCTAATTTGACCTTGATATCAAGTCTTACACCAACCTGCAAAAGGAGTTTAACAACATTTATCTGCCTGCTGACCACAGCAGCAAATAATGCATTGCAATCAACATTAGTGTGAAGAAATGGCTTTGAAGATTGAAGCAAAATTCTATCGATTGCATTGATATCCACTCCTTGCTGCAAACAAACCAAAGAAAAAGTGACACTTAGTACATGAATTGTTTGTACCTAGCAAAATTACAACCAGAGAACTTGAGAGGAGCACGCTCTCAGGACCTAAGCTTTTACCGCTAGGCCAACCCTCATGTTTTCTCAGCTTCCTCCTTTTTCAAAAGAAATGAAGGAAGAACTTGTTATTCTATACAAGCATCACACAGTTCAACTTTCTTTCTTACTAGCCTGAATTTAACAAAAATAACTTTCTAATGCTACTAAAATTCAACTTTCTAACAATGACTCATTACCTCTTTGGTATCTCTAATGCGTAGGAGTTCCAATCTTTCTGAAGGCCTCCGATTGGAGAGGGTAGCCAACTGTAATCATGATACAATTAGTACATAGCAATAAATACAGCAAATGCTGTTGTTTTTACCAACAAAGTAAAAACTTTAAATCACATGGAATAATCACCCAAAAACTAAAGCGCTCCGGGTCTCTTAATGAGGGTATCATTCCTTCAACATTCACGAATTTCTCTAATCTTCTTTGATCTGTAAATGATATATTCCTTTAGTTTAGTACTACAGCAGTATTTTCATTTGTAAAGGTGAAAAAAGAAGAAAGGTTCAGTAAAATGGGATAAAACAAACTAAGTATAACTCAATAAAATGAGCAAAAAAATTTAGGTGAACAGTGGTTACCATGTCTTGCTGCTTCTTTAGCTCTTCCTATCCATGATCGAGCACTTGCTGCTGCATTATCTATCAATTCCTGTAACTATCATAGTATACAAATAAGTCAATTGAGGAACTTCACTTTTGAGAAACTTAGCATTAGAAAAAAATAAAGCATTGGGGAACTTCACTTTTGTAGAACATTCGAACATCAAAAGTTTCAAGATTCCCTATTTCAAATTTTGGCAAGAGTAAAAAGCATTTCTTGCATATTTGTGCTAAGGAATAAATACCTACCTTTTGCAGCTAAACCCGAGTCTATCAAAACATTTTAATTCACAAGCAATACCCAAAAATTGAAGTGTTACCGGTAGCAATTACTTTTAGTACAAGAAAGATACAAAGAGAACGCTATATTCCATTTATAAACCAATGCACTTGTATCGACCGCAGAAATCCCAAAACAAAATTGACTACATGATAATATTCTGAAGAGTAAACTGAAATCTACAACTTCAATACAAGCAGATCATAGATCGTGGGAATAGCGGTTTGATCAAATTTCGCTACGCAATAATGCTATAGTGCATGAAAGTAAACTAGTTTGGTTGGCCTCATATTTTAGATATTTTCATAAATAATATGCCATTAAAGAAGTTGCCCATAAGATCTCAAGATATGCATATATCTCAAACGAAGCATACGAGTAATAGTTTTTATCAAATGAAAATAACTGCACATGCCTGAAGTCGTCTTCCTGCTGAGACCTTGCTCCGGTATTCTGAGTTTGAACATTTTGGATGCGCAAGAGAGTGACAGGGAGATTCTGAACTTCTTGCTTGCACACATCACATGTCTTGAATTGCTTGAGGTAAATAATCTAAAATCTCCAATGACTGATCAATGAGTTTGTTTTTCCACAAACCATCCTTATCTACAGTATCATTAGTCATAATTTCACTGACTTCTGCAATCAGATGCTGAACCTGCAAATAGAATAATAATATGTAAATAGAATAATAGCATGTACATAAACCCGAAATCGACGTCGAGTTACTCCAAACGTAGAGCCTGATGCAAATAAATGAAATATAAGATGATGTAATATACATTAAAAAATATTGTAAGCACAAGAAAGATTCATATGGTCATTGAACTATTATAATAAAACGAAACCCAACTGCTAATAATAGGAGCCAATAGCAGCAGTACCAATCCAACAACAAGACTAATGAGACGTCATTGCGAAAATCTGTATAATTTGTTTTAGAACAAATAAATTAACATTGGAAGTTTAAAAACTCACAGCAATAGAAAACAATAGAATAATATTCTGCATATTCTGATATGAAAGAAACAAACATTCTTTAAGGGCAACTGTAACTGAATCCAATATTTCTCGATCAATCTTGATATCAAGTAGGGCAGCAGAAGTTTTTGTTTTGAAATGCATCTTTACATTTTGATAAAGAAAAGAGGTGTAGTTGATAGTTTGAAAACATAAGACGTGTCATGTTGAAAACATAAGACGTGGCGTGTTGTGGAGCAATTAGGGCAATTTTGGCAGAATTATGGAGCAAGGAGTCCAACATACCACATGCTATGTTGCACATGCCATCAACCAATGAACTGACCTGCATCATAAATTATTTATAACAGTCAGGCATCATGTTTCAAAGCAATTGACATGACAAGTTGCAGTGTAAATATTGTGAATCAAATAGAGATTATGAAGAATCACTTATCTTTTAATATTCACGACGACACAGTGATTCAGAAGAAGGTGCAATGCATAAGTGGTAATGTAACTGGGGAAGATGAAAAAAATGCACAAGCAGGATTGTTGTCCGAGTTCAATGAGGCTCAAGCATTTCAGGGAAGTCATTTGCGAACCAATTTCTCCCATGGAGTCGCCATTTCTACCAAGGTAATCCAAGTAATATTGGTTGTTAGATGCTTAATACAACCATGCAGCAGGACATAGAAATTCATCATGTGCATTCAATTATAATTCGAATATTCATTTCAAATTTCAAATGTATAGTTTTTTTTATATTGATCCAGAATTGCATTGAACCAAAAAATCTTACATTATAGCCACTGATAGATATGTAGTACTTTTGTGCAACTATGATGTTGCTGTCATGTTTTCCTCTATATTTATCTGTAAAATCAAACTACTGCATTTCATCAAAACCAAATACAAATCAATTTAGTGATTCCATATGGAAATATAATAGTCCATTATCCACTGTAAGTTACCATCATCAGATAGAAGATTTCTCCTAACTTATAACTATTTTTATCAAAAAGAGTGTAATTACTGATATTGGTACTTAGGGTATTAGATGTGCTCATTTATTAGGTGTCAACTAAAATACCTATAAACTGACGAAACCAGAGTCAAATCTAGAACAACAGTAAAATAGAATTTCAGAACCATCTTAGAAATTTTGTTCTTAATAACTCAACCTAGATTCTGAAATTGAATAGTAGAAGAAGTGATAAGATGAAAGAAAAGATGGAAAGTGATGCACTAATGAACATATGTATATGGGTAGAATAAGCATACCTCTTTGTTATGTCAAAGGATGTCATTCATTAGAGGAGTTTCACCAGCTCTATCAACATCATTTACATCCGCTCCTTCTTCAATTAAATATTCACATAACTAAGAATTTCTGGTGCTAGATGGCCAATGCAACAGAGTTCCACCAACCTGGGTATAAACTTAAATTTTTTGGAGTTACACCACTAACTCTTCTACCAACATACACTTGAAATAAGTGTAATGGCCTGATTCACTGCAACATAGGATAAGAACATCTAAAACGCGAAGAAGGAGATACCAGCGTTGTCGTTGAAGACGAAAAGAGAAAGAGCAATTAGGATTTAAACATCTAAAACCCTAATTGCTAATCACCGTAGCTTCGCCGCCGTTATTCCATTCGAACTCGCCAGAATCTATAAAGCAAGAGAGAAAGAAGATCAGAACAAATCGGACAGAAAGTCATAAAGCAATCGCGAAAGGGGTAAGATCTTTAGCTTTTTGTTTGTTTTTGGTGGTTGGGTTTTGATTGAGGGAGAACTGGGTACACCGTCGTCGCGAAGAGGATATGACGCTAGGGTTTGAAGGTTGGGGGGTGAGAGGCTGCGCGGGAGAGAGATGAAGGGTTCACTGTAAAAATAAAATTGTAACAAGAATAATGAAATGAATAAGAGCTTTTTAAGAGCTTTTTAACTTTTTTACGGCGACGGGTGTTTTACCGTCGTGCCCATGAGAATTTTTAAAGGTTTTGGGTGCGACGGTTGTTTTACCGTCGTGAAATGAATTTTAGGACGGATAATTTTACCATCGTGAAAGGTTTAAGGGTGCGACGGGTGCTTTACCGTCGTGATATGCCTTTTAGGACGGTTAATTTTACCGTCGTGACTAGTTGTTGGTGAAAAATCAATGTTAAAAGTGTTAAATGGGGGCCGACGGTTGTTTTACCGTCGTAATAATAATATTATGATGGTTAAATATACCGTCGCAAAATAAATATTAGGGACGGTTGGTGTCAACTGTCGTAAACACTGTCGCTATATGTCAATTACGACAGTTATCACATAACTGTCGCAATTTTTGTGTCGTTAAACACTAATTTTCTTGTAGTGATTCCTCGAATAAAGTTGTTCCTTGGAACTATGAGGTTGACGTCTATTACCATTGCGTCAAGCAATATTTATATGTTGTTAAAGACAAAGATGTCGAACACTCTGATCCTAACATTAGTAATATTGCCGGAACCAGCAAAAGCAGCAGAAGCGGAAGATTTTTCTCTCCTGAGATTTCTCCTCCTAAAACAATTGGTACTCTTGTGATCATCCCTGTTGCTCCTGTCAATATTCTCGTAGCTACTCCTGCTGTTAGTTCTACTGTTATCCCTACTACTGAGTCGACCGAGACTCAGGGCAAAGAAGTATTGGTTGAGCCTGTCCAGACGAAGGCACATCCAGAAGCCATCCGCGAGGCTTCTAAAAAGGAGATGGAAGAGATATTGAAAATAATCAAGAAGAGTGACTACAATGTGGTTGAACACTGGGGTAGACCCCTTCCAAGATCTCAATGTTGGCCCTGTTACTATGCTCTGAAGCCCATGCCAAGGGTTTAGTAAAATTCTTGAAGTCTTCCCACGTACCTCAAGAGACCCCCGCTGATCAATTGGAAGAATGTGCTGCCAGTTTGACTGCTGATAATGGGCTAGGTTTCTCTGATGCTGATTTAACACCCAGAGGAAGGAAACATAATGATGCTTTGCATGTCTCTATCGAGTGTTGGGCCCTACTTTGGCCCACGTTCTAGTGGATACAGGTTCATCGTTGAATGTTCTACCAAAGAAGGCCCTTGACAGGTTAGATTGTGAAGGATTGACTCTGAAGCCTAGTAACATTATGGTGAGAGCCTTCGACGGTTCTAAAATAATGGTGCATAGGGAGGTGGACATCCCTATCAAAGTGGGTACTCAGAATTTTAATTCCACTTTCTATGTGATGGACATCCGCCCATCTTACTCCTGTTTATTGGGTCGACCCTGGATTCATGAGGCTGGTGCTGTGACTTCCACCTTACATCAGATATTGAAGTAACTAGTCAATGAAAAAATTATTACAGTTCATGGGGAGGAGGAGTACAGGGTGAGCCACCTGAACTCTTTCAGGTACGTTGAAATGGACGACGAGTTCATTGAGACCCCCTGTCAAAACTTTGAGGAGGTTCCGCATACCGTTGCTACAACCAAAACCTCTTCTAGTGTTCCAAACACTACTAGGCCTCCGTTGAAGATGGCTTCTCTGAAAGATGCCAAGGCGGTCGTTGAAGAAGGTGGGTACATAATTTGGGGCCAATTTTCGGATATTCCCTACAAATATGACATGTTTGGTTTGGGTTTTACATCAGGAGCTCAAAGGGTTGTTCGTCATTCTCGTGCCAAAAGACCACCCCTACGCATTAGCAATCACGGGGTTAATGCTTTGGAGGACAATGAAAGTGACTGTGACATGGACCAGTGGATCTTCCCAATTGTCAGCGGAGGACTCACCAACTAAAAGACTAAAGACTGTGTGTCGATTACTTTTATTCAGAAGTAATTGTCCTTTTTGTTTTGTTTTTTGATATGTAATAAATGAATAATACAAACTCTAAAGACCTTGTGTCTTACCCGAGGCGCAATGGTTTATTTGTGAGGGTTATCATGTTTCATTTTCATATGTCATTAATAAAGCATTGGACATTTTTTACATACAAATTTTGCGCTCTCTGCCTTTCTTTTATGCTTTTTACTTTATCAAAACAGCTATGCTCTTACACACACTCACATATCAAACTGCAGATCCACATCCACTATGGATCCCATCGATAACGGTTCTGCTATTTATCATTATGACTTTGAAAATACGATCAACCAAGCCGAGGACGAAGGTAAGGAAGATTGTGAGGTACCAGGAGAGCTTGCCAGACTGTTACAACAGGAAGAAAGGGTAATACAGCCTCATGAGGAGCCAGTTGAGACAGTGAAATTGGGTATTGAAGAGGATAGAAAAGAAGTCAAGGTAGGTGCAAACTTGGAGCCCAATGTCAAACAGCGGTTGTGATACGGTGGAAGAATCGACTGTTTAATACTAGTTTTTGCATTTGTGTTTGAAAATGTTGCGGTAAGCAAGAGTCGCCACCGAATTTTCTTTTATCCAACAAAGTAAAGGGTGAAAAGAACAGAAAATTATCTTTTAGAGAGTTTTCTGAGTAAGGGGGTAGATTATGAAAAGGGAAGATGTTAGCACCCTTTGCATCTGTGGTTTTCCACGGGCTCTTAGAGGTTTGCTCATTTTTTAAATACCTTTGTGCTTTGTGTTTGAAAATGTTTTGAAAACTCCTTAGTACGGTGAAATTTGTAATGTTTCTCGGAATAGTGGGGAAAGTATACAAAGTGTTTGAAAATGTGTTTTGAAAGGAATAATATTTATGTGTAAGTGCAAAAATAGTTTGAGAAAATTTCTAACAGCTATCTACTTTTGTACTCGAAAATATTGTTCTTTTCCTCTTTTCCTTTAAACATTTCTATCCTACTATTAGTGGGTAGGTATCCTTGTCATTGGATGTTTTGAGGGACAATTGGAGGGACGTTACAGTCACAAAGGCAACTTATGGAGATGCTTTAGAAATTCTGTTTTAGAGACTAGATCATTTACCGAGAAGGAAACTGTAGGGTCATTGAGGGACTATGATCTTTTAATTTATGGGTTTTTGCTAAAGCATTCCTTCCCCATGATTGTTTTTTAAAGGCAACCAAAGTGGGATACCCTATTGGTGCTTGTGTGCAATTGTGTTCAATTCAGTTATTTATCTTTTTGTCAAGTTTGCTAACGTTTGATTTCAGTTTTGTCATACAAACCTAATTACTATTAGTTAATATA